TGTCAGAAAAGAACAGTGGCAGTACTGCGGACTGCTCCTTTTTGTCTTATTCTGGAAAGTACGACCGAAAACCAAAGTGGGGAACGCAATCAAAGTTCCAGCCTCGAAAATTCGAGAGGTTCGGCAGTAAAAAAAACAAATTCCATTAAAATAAAGTCCTGCAGCTTAAACCTGCCCAACTTTACGAGTCCTCATTGGCATTGCCTACAAGCTCTGTTGGAGTTGCACGTATGTGTATAGAGGCGAACCTAAATCCCAGAATAAGACTTGATGTCCGTCAGGCGTTTCTTCAGTTGAGCTTCAAGGCATCTTTCACAGCATCGTGAGGGATCGTTTTGATGGCCTTACGGTCGACTGCGCTGTTAGTTTTCCTAGCGAGCCCCCGATGTGTTCACATTCGCACATATCTGCAACCTGTGAACACTGCTATGACTGCTGTATATAAACAGTCCATTCCCAACCGCTTTCAAGCCAATGGGGTTCAGTGCTCAGGACAACAACACTGGCATCAGTTATGCTTTGCTATAGGGTTTAATTGTTCTGGATATATCATCAGACATAGATGCAGTTCGGTTGTCATGCTTTTCCTCATCCGGAGATTTCATTGTAACTGAATCCCCTTAGACAGCCATATTATTAAAACCACTTTTCCGGGCGCCGCTTTCTTTTAATATTGTTCGGGAAGTTATCATTTGCCGTTCATCTTCCGACAAGAACATGGTACGTCAGTATCAGATCTCAAGCAATCGAATGAAACCGAGATTCTGCCACTTCTTGTATGAACAGGCGGAATAGAATTTTAATTTGGCTGTCTTCTTTCCTCCACCAAAAGAATGTCTGAGAAAGGCATTTTTATTTTTTCACATTTTGCGCCAACTGTATGTGCAGCTTATTAATGGCAGTTTTCGCAAAGAGGCCACATCTCCGACCCTATGCGACAAGGAATACTCTGTTTCTACTAGTCACCGTAAAGATTGTTTTTAAAAGCGCTTCAGACATTTTGTAGGCGGAATAATGCACTCATGTGACACATGCTTGCCGAAACCCAGTTGCTTTACTCGCCGATAACCTGATGTAAAGAATTAAGTGCGATTTAAAAAACCATAGCCTTACTCTGTCGATGGGTATGTCCACTCTATTTCCGTATTCCTTGTGATAGTCCCCTTTTATACGAAATGGTCGCTGTTGTTTGGATTCGAAAGTAACATAGACAAATTCCGCGAGGCTGACTAAGGGATTGAGGTTAATGGAGAAATTCAGTTCATTTACTTCTGTGGCACTTTTTACAACCCTTCGAGATGTTTCTGAAAAGCCATATTTTTCCCTCAGGCCTGCATTCTCTCCCTCTTCAGAAAACGTTGCCAAATGAATGACCTGGAAGTTGATGTAGTCACTTGCGATTGCTGCGGCAGATTATTCAAAGTTATATAGCCCTTTGGTGCTGCGTGGACAACATTTTAGGGACCTGATGTGCAGGTACTATATTTTTTCCATTTTTCAGCATTTTTAGAATGGGCCACTTGCGTGCCGTCAGCGGTTACATTATTTATTTTCAGTATGTTGATTTTTGGCACAAAAGTTCTAGCGTAAATGTTTTTCAGAACATATTTCTTGTTCTTATTCACTGCTACCCGTCGCTTTTGCATGAAGACTCTAAACAGCCAAAATAACTTACAAACGGCAGCAGCCTGCGGGCACAAAGCGCAGCATACAGTCGGCTACCGCCGCTGTTACTGCCCCCTCGACCACAGCCATCTGATTGGTCCTTCGTTCCACGTGCCCTCCTTATGTAGCGTGGCTGCCAATCAGAGGGCGCAATGAAACGTACTTAAGGTCGAGCAGTGACTAGAGGGATCATGCGACAAAACGAAACGTGTTTCCGTGTGGGCCCAGACGCCAGTGTCTTCACTTCGCCTGGAATGAAGCTGCTTAACTACCTGGTAATGCGGTTCTTATCTCATAATGCCTTAATGTTTTTAAATTATGCTGAACTTAACCGTCCCTAAAGGCCACACGTCAGCACCGGTAGGGCTGGTGTGAAGTCTAGGTCAATGCATTCGTCCGAGCGAACACTTTTCTATCTTAATAAATTTCATCCCGGTGGGAAAAGTACACTATCTTGACCTCGCTTATACTACTGATGTTGTGTACTATGAGCTTAATAGCCCCTTTATTTAGCTTAGATTTGCTTTCGGAGAAATGCAAATTATATTTAGTATTTTATGAAGTTAGTCTCGCCAGTTAAAGTCACCATTTCCGACCTCTGTTTGAGAGCCCGATTTTTCACAATCCTTGAATCACAGGGACGTGAGCGTTTATTTGCGAAAATAACTTGTCGTTAACCAGGCGAAAAGATTATGATGCGATGTACAACGTAAGGTGTCCTATATTTTCAAATAGGCATTACCTTATCGGAGAAATAGTAGTGAATGTAATCGTCATTCCAATCCCGCAGAAACTTTCATAAAATGACTCGAAAAATTACTTGGACAACCTATCGTCAGTAATTTCTTTGTAGGGCTGTGCAGTCGTCTGGAAATTTCTGTGTCACGAAACAAAATACAAAATTTGAAGTAATCGCTTTCTCAATTATGGACACTTGAATGTTACCTATTGGGAAAGCTCTAGAATTCCATGTTAAGCTGGACAGGCAGTTGGACCCGATCATCGCTATTTAGACATTCAGCGGACATTCAAGTAGCTAACTTTTAGCCAGGCCAAACGAAGAGTCAGCACAAGTTTGTGTGCAGAGACCTCCAAATTGGGATTATTGTTACTTCTGTTACCGTTGCGGCTTCTGACATTTTTTCTCAGCCTGTAAAGGACCTGAGAAAAATACAGAGTCGACGTTAGTATGGCAGCCAGGGACTACCAGTTGTGCGAGAATGGGGCAACCGATTGGGGTAGTTTTTTTCTTTCTCCAGTCACGCTTGAAATTGTGAACAACCTTCAGATAACTTTGCCAGTGCTGCATGCATCACAGCAACAATTCACGAAGAGGAAACACATAGGACGGTCTAAGTTGACAACTTTTTGTGCCTGCTGCTTGTTAAGTCACCCTTTTTTCTTATACTTGAGCAGAAAATAGGCGTGTAACATGACCTTAGCCAACCTTATCTTTACTAGCCATCTGGATACGCCCACAAACTAGAGTGAAGATGGAGCGCATTTAAGGAGAAAACCTGGTTTACAGAGTACTCAAACTTCAAAATTGCTCTGCCTCCCAGTGAGAAATTAAACTTATTTAGCATCTGCCATCTACTCGACAACATGACAACACTAAACTGAAACAGACAGCTTGCATGATATGTTAGCCAATAGTTCACATAAATTAAGATTACTACTTCGGGTTTATTTACCGTCATGCGCGAGTCATAAACTAGTCCAAGACCCTAACGGTCTGGGGCCTTTAAGCCTGTCAGTAGTCTTGAATTTCAGTGCTCCCCAGTAAACCAACAGACTGGGTCCTGTCTAGATCCTCTCACTGACAGTTCGGTCGTCGTTTGCGAAGATGTCCACCGTGTGTCCCGCAGCAGAGTGGAGCTGGGGCGGTGCATTGTGCGTGAATTAGTTTATGGTGGATGTAGACTTGCGCTGCATCTACCACACTCTCTCCTCTCCCACCTGGAACCGGTGTCAAGACGGAGTCAAAAAGATCGGAGGCAGGGGAGGGCGCAGGTGGATGGCACGGTCGAGCCCGCACCTTGGCGCTCCACTCCACACCCCCTGGTCCACACAACAAATGATCAAGATTTTAACCAATAAAAGAGTGGCTGACACGGCCGGATCCGCCCCTTGGCGTGCCGTCACACGTGGCTCAGATCCCACAGAGTGGAAGTGCCATGAAGGGCACATTAAGAAGAAGTCAGTGCAACCTGATTCTTAGATCACCAGCCGGTCACTCCACACAAACACACACAACACTGAGTCGACTGTTAGGTTCAAGTTATCCCGTCAGTTGGCAATCTTCCAAGACACGACTTTTAGCGCACCGTGATAGCTTCAAGCGCGTCAGCTTGTTTATAGTGAGAGAAATGTGCTGAGCCGTCGACCCCGCTCTTCCTTCCCATTCCCCGGGCCCCAAAAACTGTCCTGACCGGTCAGTTGACAGGTGCGGGGAATGGGCGAGGTGGCTGACATCTCTGGTGACCTTGTCTGCGCGCGCCACATGCACGACCTGGTCTCTTAAACATTAGCACCAGGATTTCAAAAAACGGGGTTGAGCGGCGTACACCTCACATGCGTGAGAGTGCCATAGGTCACGTTAAGAAGGAGCTGCTGTAGCCTGACTCCCAGCCCAACAGTCCGCCATCCCACACACACACACACATACAACTGGACAGACTACGTGGACTGAGTTGAGGCGTCAGTCAGCAGCCTTCCATGCCACAGCGCTTGACACTGCTAGCCTCGGACTCGGATCACACATGCAGCGAAGAAACAACATGGAGACGGAGCTGAGACGCACATTGACCGCTTGCGTGAGAGGTGGCAGTTGGATGCTTGAGATGGATAATGATGTTGCGTGATGTAGGTAGACGACAATCATATGGTGTGGTTTAGCCGGCGGTTGTCTACCGCAGGTTTTCGTGGATACGCATGTGGCCTAATAGGCCCATGCAGCGGGTGAATGTGTGGGTGCAGTGAGGGAATTTGAGGCGGATGCAGCGAGTGTAAGTTGGTTTCGCGGGTACTGGTTCTCCGGTCTTTGTGCGCTGGATTCGCAAGTCATCGACCAGGCCGATGTGGTAAGTGAAGGTGCGGTCGCAATGAGGACAGATATGGATCGGATCCGCATCAGTGGGGTTGTTGG